TTAATATACTATATTTCTTTCAAAAACAAATGTAATTATAATCCCTTACAGTTTGTAGAATTATTATCACATCAAGTATATTATGATGTTTAATATATATATATATATATATATATATATATATATTCCAGTATTAAAAAAAACTTAAATAAGTTAATTCTGCGTGCTTCATTTATCACTATTATCAAAAAGGTGATTATATTTCTATTTTTTGTTTATTCTTACTCATTTTATTCATTGTGGGTATAAGAAAAACCTGTCTGAAATTCTTATACGATGAGCAACATATCTTTAGAAATCCCTCCAAATCTGTTTCGATCTGTCTAATCCTGCGTTTAGCTCGAACTTGAGCAAAGACAATTTTCTGGGGTCTAGTTCTGTTTATCCATCTGCAAGGATTCATGATTATTTAAAATTCTTTTTCTTCTACATGCATACATAATTGGGAATATCATTAAATCCGGAAATATTTATTTTCTATAACAGGTTTAGTGATGTAATAATATTAATTACTCAGTACGAATATTATACTGTAGGAATTTGAAATAAAAATCCAGCTTATAACTTCGTATCAGACTAGCTTACTGACCCACACTTCTATAAACAAAACATTATTTATTTATTTATTTATATATATATATATATATATATATATATATATACACACACACACACTTTCTTTCTTCTCGTTCGACTTTCCTAACACACTATTTTTTACGTTTCGTAATTAAAAATAATCTTGTGAACCGTGTAATTCAAAGAATGTTTCAGCTGCTTCTGTATATATATATATATATATATATATATATATATATATATATATATATATATATTACAAAGATTATAAATAAATACATTGAGCTCTTTTAGTGAATCAGTTTTAATATTTTATATTATTATGATTCACTTGGATTATATACCAACGGATTATTACCTGTGTGTTTGTGTGTGTGTGTATATATATATATATATATATATATAAAACAACCTGAGGAGACCGTATTGGTCGAAACTGCAGTAGTGTTCTCGTTAGCATTCCTATTTTTTTTAAAACATTAAACAGCTCTACAAGTCTGGTCTTCCAACTTGATATTGAGTACTTTGAATGCGTACGATCTTAAATATTTTACTGTTTGTTTACTCTGGCGCGTATATATATATATATATATATATATATATATATATAATATTAAAAAAACAACTTGTACACAAGAAATATGCGTCTGCGTGCCTATTATTGAAATTGGCTTAATACCTATCCATATAGTTATTGATAAACCGTATTCTCTTAAAATATAAGTATTAGGATTTACCCTTCAAAATATTCATTTAAATTCCTACTTCGCAAGTGTGTGTGTGTGCGCGCACACACACACACACACATACACACTCGATATTCTCAAACGAACAGAATATCGTTTTGTAACCCACAAATAATATAATGAAAAGTCTTAAATATACAATAAATAAATAAAACTTATCGTAAGAAAAATAACTGAAATCGATGTATAAATTTCTTTCCCAAGCATCATTTGTAATAATTTTTTTAGTGGTCTAAATTTCATAGGCTATTTTCTTTCCTTAAATGTTGACATTATATTACATATGAATTTTATCCGTAATGTTTGTAGCATTACATTCAATGATCTTTTCTTTCTGAATAAGCACAATGGATCAGAAATGAAGTAACGACCAATGAACTCTTATCCTATATTCTAATGAGAAAGACTGCGTTCAATGACAAGATTTCACTCTGTGACCAGATCTGTAAATGCGACGTCCATCTCAGACACACTTTGAGGATATATGACGTGAGCTCAAATTTTGGTAGGGATTGCTTTTTTGCTTAATGAAAGGAAAATATAACAAAATGTAAGCGTAGCCTTTAACTGGTGAACACGATGAAACTGCTTTAATTTAAGTGGCTTTGTTCAAAATTATTTATGTGTTTTGTTTAGTTTTGCTTGCCATAAAGCCTTCGAATCTTCCAGTCAGTTGGGCAAACAAGTGATGAAATATTTGTAGCTTGCTTTGCGGTTTGAATAATCAATCTTCATATTGAAAGAAATATTAAACTTTTCAATCTTATTTGTGATTGCTGTTCGTTATCTTGCTTTCGTGTCAGGTAAATCAACAGTTGTTAGAAGAAGAAATATAACAACGTCTTTGACTGTGCCAATCATGGCGTTTATAGTAAGACTTGCGTAAATCCAGGAGCGCGTGGAGTGAGTTCAATCTATACAACTGACCCACGATTGGAACTTTGTGTTGTACGTATTTTTTTAAAATCTGTAATATCTTTACGATAAAGAATTGACTAATTACACTAACTTCGCACGAATTATTACATTGTGGAAAAAAAAAACTCATAATTAAAAGTTCTACGGTGGAGTAATGGATAGCGGCTCGGATTGAAGAATCGGAGAGCCGAGTTCGAAACCCAGTCGAATCCATTTCATACGCTTAACTGAATCCTCTTCTTCTCCCCCCAGCTATGGGTAAATAGCAGGACATATAGCCTTTGATGGTAACTGGTCTATAGCAGAAAGAAATGAAAAATCTGCCTCATGTAGCTAAAGGTACATGATCTCCTAAGCGTGTATCACGTATGGCATTTTAGAGTAAAAAAAACAAAAAACAAAATGAATCTTATCGTTAGAACTTCACGGGCATGATGAGTGTGCGTGTGTTTTTTATATATATATATATATATATATATACACGCGCACACACGTTTAATATTCACATTTTTGGCGAACAATCTGCATTTTGTGATTATATCTGTATTCTTTATCAAATTTACACCCCCTCCCCCCCAAAAAAGAAAAATACGTTGTAACTACTCCTTTCAAACAGTCATATTTAATAGTGCAGACTGGGTTTTTCAGATAAGTTATTTTTTCTCACCAATGTTATTTGAACTTACACGCAAATTATTTTTACTGTGATGTTTTATGGAGTTTTGTAGTTTCATTGTCCCTCTAAAACTTCTCATTATCGTTTTATATTATTGACTGATTTAAAACTGTTGAATAACATAAAAATAAGTTGGTTGGGGAGGGTAAATGAAAGAATTTATGTGAAGACATGAATATCTTTTTGCTACTGCAAATGGACGGATCTATTCACTGAACTAAATGCAATGCACACGTATGCACGTAAGATGGAATAAGCGAACCAACCATGATACTAAACAAGGCAATTTAACCAAAGCCTTGTCATCGACCCCTACTGTGTTGATATTTGTAGAAGTGATAGCTTCTTTAAAGTTGAAAGAACCGATAAAATTCTGTGCCTATATAGATTCAGTATTCAAAGTAAATATTCCGAAGACAAATTGAAGAATGTTTTTTTATTATTATTAAATAAATTTGACAAGAGCCTGTCTAAACAATTTTTAGAAGGTTCAGACCGTTAAATGTTGTTTTGTTGTGGTCATTTTTTTTTAAATAAACCGAATTAGTATGTAGTTTAAAGGGAAAAAAATCTATGAAGGTCATAAAATATTAAAATAATTCTTTTTAGATACGTTTAATGAAATTTAAAGGTGAGCGCGCGCGTACACACTATACAAATTACACACACACACTTAGATTATGTATATATGAGCACAACGATTTTCTCTCTCTCCCACTATCATATATATATATATATATATATATATATATATATATATATTTGTTTCATGTCTGTATAACAACTTGAGGATGTCTCATGTGAGCCGAAAGCTTAAGTCCAATTTAATAAAAATAAATTATCCAAATGTTGGACAATTTTTGTCTTTATTTTCACCAGAAATTAAAGCAAACATTCGAACGGCTCATGATCAGACATAATAGACATTCATTTGTCTGTTATACTTAATGTACCTTATATATCTATATATATATATATATATATATAGAGAGAGAGAGAGAGAGTGTTATTTTCTCTTTTTGCTTATTTTTGGTATGTCTTATTTTTAACCTAATCTGATATACAGAAACAGATTTTAGATGTTCCGCCGTAAGACAGTGATCAGCAAGCCAGTCGTGTATGTCATTACTACCGTAGTGAGTAACAACGCCTTTCTAACTGAGTGATCTTCAACTGTTGCCTTGTGCCAGAGTAGCCTTGCAGTGGAGTAAGGGTAAGCTTCACTCCCAGGCTATTATTACAGCACTGAATTCGACTCTAGATACTGGTAGTCGTCTAACCCAGTCTTATGAAATATATATAAAAGCTTCGTCATGAAGCAGTGATTAGGTAACTAGACTTACAGGTCAGTCTAACTATATGGAGTTAACCCTTATCTTTTTCGTCTCCTATATTTATATAGTCTTTATAACCTAAGTTGAGTTTAGTAAATAGCAATATACAAAAAATATACACGAGTCTCTTGAAACCTATATATATATACACACACACACACACATATTAGCTCTACACTACAGAAGCTATTATCATACATTTACGAACATGTTGCCAATTGCTTATGTTAAACAGCTTTCACTGTTATAAACCCATGTCTAACCTAAATCTTCAAATTTCCTTCATTGTTGGTAAATTGTTTTTAAAACACAAGCCTATGCGATTATTCTTTTTCAAACAATAGACAACATAATCGTATTTTATTCGCAGTGCATATTGTAGTAGGTATTTTTAAAGTATAAAAAGTGCTAGTTCCTTTGGGTTTCTTTTACTTAGCATAAACTGTCAAGCGCATGCGCGCAATGAATGTTAATACGCAAATATTTCCAACGACGGATAATAGTCCGACATTTTCAAAAGCCTTGATTTTTTTTTTTTTTTTTTTTTTAATCGTAAGAGTTAAGCAAAATATATGAAAAACAGTTGATGAAAACTAAATAAATTCGAAAATTTTCTTTGAAAAAATATTGTTCTCATATTTGAAGAAACTCAATCTTTTTTTTTTCTCTCCATGTGTTATTTATTTATTTTTCCTACGAAGAGTGGATTTATCGTTCAAGGCAAATGAAACGACTAAACATTTGTAGGCTGAGGCCACATCACGTTGAAACACCGGTTCCCGTACGATCACCGAAGTTAAACTGGTCAGTAACTAGATGGGTGACCGATTGCGAATACCAGGTGCTGTAAGCTTGGATGTTCGGCTGGTGTAATGGATAATGATACAGAATTGTTAATCGGAGAGCCGAGTTCCAATTCCAATGGCTTTCGTTATAGTCACTTACGGGCAAATAAAATTGGGATGGTCATGAAACCACAACTTCCCCCTAGCTATGGGTTAATTAGACTCGTATCATTATTATCCTCAAAAAAATAAAAATTTGTTTACAAAATACTTAGATTTCAGCATTAAATAACCCATACAGGTCGATATGCTGCTAAACAAAGGAAACAATCTTTGTAAATATAGAAATTTCATTTCTTTTTCTTTTCTTTTTTTTTTTTATCGGGATGTCGTAATTCTAAGAATTATTACACGACAAAAAGTCTTGACTAATCCAAAAAGAATGAAAATTAATACTCGCAGTAGAAAACTAATGTCGAGATACTCTTGTTACATCTATTTCTGTCGTTTATATCTGTCTGACTCTTTCTGTTCATGTCTGTCTGTCTGTCCATACAAACTTAGCTATCTGTCAATCACTCACATTATTAAAAAAAAATAACATATACTGATTTCATATTGGTAAATAAAAAAAAAAACCAAATCATTGTTTTTCTTTTAGATATTTCAGTCTATGAAAATGTTGAAACTTTATTAAAAATTCCAGAAAGACCTAGAAAATCGTGCAATAACCACTGCAACTCTCACGGTCTCCTCCGCCATCACTGTCACCAGCATCATGACACCTACCAAAACGATTACTACTAGCAAACCCCAAACTACTGCACGTAATTCCTTAGTTCTTGGACTACTACAACTTCTTCTAGTTCCATTTGTCTTCCCACCCTTCCATGACGACTGCAATGTCCACTACCACCACTGCTGTCTTGACCACTGTGACCAATCGCACGGACACCAACCAACAGTGGCAGCTACTAGAAATACCACGCATGCCCGTCGACCTCCCTCTTCCACATCGAACCACCCCGACTACCACCCCGAATTGCTCCAACCCCTTCCAACAATACCAAAGCTACCAATATTATCCCCATCAACATTGAGACTACTATTCCTGCTTCTTCTTGAACTTTCCAGACCCCTACCTCTACCTTGAGTAGGGCCACTAATCTGCCTTCCGCTACCATGACTATCATTACTTTCAGAACTTCGTCGTCGTCGGCCCCACGACAAAGCTAATGCCTTAACCATCAATACTATATGCGCCACTGCTTACTGTAGGACTTGTCCAATGTGGACAAATGCCACTACAGCATTAGTGACTTTCATAATCACGCACCGTACCTCCCAACCACCCCCGCACCCCACAGTTCGTCGATCTACCCTTCCCAGTCCACCCACTTTGCCTCGCAACAACTACAAATATACATATGTGCGCGCATAAACACACACACACACACACACACACACACGATCATATCACCCCACCTATCCGGTCTCTCGCGCTCTTGAAGCTTCTTACACGCGCATGGGCGCATACACCATCGCTACCAAACGTGTGCGCAGGCGCCCAGATCAGAAGTGCACACGTATTCACTCCTATGCACAGTTATCTAAACACACTTGTGTGCGTGTAGGCATCTCGATATGCATTGCCAAGAGCACGCTTATGTTCCCTGATACTAACAATGCCATCATCACCATCACTAAGATTACTGATGGCAGGCTTCAATTATCATTAAATATTACTACGATCAATCTACTGTAATCTCATTACGCTTAGGTGACCTGGCAAGCTCCGAACTCGACGTGATTAACGTTACTGATGAAGCCGTGCAAAACAAGGTGGGCTGTAAATAAAGAAAATAAAGATAACCCTTAAGAATCCATTAGGGGAAAATACTTGGCAATCAAGATTAAAAAGAAAATTAAATTCCTATTGGAATCGAGTTCAGTTTGATTAATGATGTCCATGAACTCCCTTTGTAATACGATTCAAAGTTCCAAGATATATCATTGTCAATTATTAATTTTTGACTAGTATATTGTTCGTTTTATTTCGTTTACTTTTTATCGCAATTCCCATGTCGTCATTTTATGGTCGTTAATAATATAAGATATATCATTGTCAATTATTAATTTTTGACTAATACAAGGTTCGTCTTATTTCGTTTACTTTTTACCGTAATTCCCATGTCATTTTATGATTCTTAATAATATAAGACGTATCATTGACAATTTTTTGACTAGTATTACGTTTGCTTTCTTTTTCCCCCATTTCCCATGTCGCCATTTTATGGTCGGTAATAATATAAGAAATATCATTGTCAGTTATTAATTTTTTTGACTAGTATTTCGTTTGCTTATTTTTTTTTTTTTTTATCGGAATTTTCATGTCTTTCTATGGTCGTCAATAGTACAAGATATATCTTAGTTAATTATTAATTTTCTTACTAATATTTCGTTCACGTTTTATCGCAATTCCCATGTAGTCATTCTATGGCCGTTAATAATATATCATTGTCAATTATTAATTTTTGACTAGTACATCGTTCGTCTTATTTCGTTTACTTTTTATCGCAATTGCCATATCGTCATTTTACGATTGTTAATAACATAAGATATATCATTGTGATTTAGTTTTGACTAGTAAATCGTTCTATTCCATTTACTTTTTATCGCAGTTCCCATGTTGTCGTTCTACGATCGTTATTAGTATAAAAGGTATCATTGTCAATTATTAAATGTTGACTAGTATTTCATTCGTCGTATTTAGATTGATATTTATCGCAATTCCCATGTTATTCTATGGCGGTTACTTTGTGAAACAATCTCCCGAGAGAATGCTCACCTGACAACACCAATTTTGGTCTCTTTAAGTCTGTGGTCAATCGATATCCATCTTACACCTCCTCATAATGTGCATTTCTTACTTCCTCATTCCCACTTTCTTACAATAATCTCACTCAATAACCTCCTTATCTTGATTGGACTTTGTATTGAGTGAACAAACAGTAAAAGAAAAAATTATAAGATATATTATCGAAAACTATTCATTGTTTATTAGTGCTTCGTTCATATTTCTGTTTTTATCGCAATTTCCATGTCGTCATTCTATGATTAATAATACGTAGCAATAGGAACAAAAGAAGCATATTTCACATCTACTTTAATTTACAATCGTGGAATGAGTATTTGATAGTTGTGTATCTGCTTATATTTCTGAGATGAGGTATTATGTACACTATTTACATTATTCGGACTATTGTCCTCATCTTTGTTGCCATATTTATCACAACGTTTTTTCAGGTGGTTGGAATGTCGAAGTGAACCCTTTATTTCGCTCGCTGGGTTAGACTGTTCTAGTTCCACGTGCCATGTCTAATGGATGTCAGTTATCGGTTATTACCTGTTAATTCACCTCTCCAAGTTTCCCCACTACTTTAACCAGTTATTGAACCAACGCCTTTATCCACTGTGCCACAGTGATGATAGTTTTGATTAAAAAAAATTCAGACGAAAGAAATGACGAATAATTCATCCTTGTTGGGACTTTAAATAATTACCCTTCTATATATAAAAAAGAATAGATTTCAGAATAGTCTTTATATTGTCATTGCTAGTTTGGTATTAGCCGCTTCGTTGAATGCAAGGTTATCAAATTTTAACTGTTTGGCCATTTAAAACACAATATTTATTAGAAAATATGTTCAATTGAAATAGAAGATTCATAAAAAAAAATCCAAGTGTTACACGTTCATGGACATAAATTATTTCTAAGAAGGTTTGCATTTCAAGTTACTCAGTTCTCGGATCGAAAGAGAAATGAACCCTCACGACACATCTATGCATTTAAATTTCCTTCAAATTGTTTGTATGGCGGCTTGTGTGCGCTCATGTATAATTCAATTTTAGGGATGATTTAAAATATTTCTACAGACTTTAAAAAAAAAAATACCCTCAATAATTCTACTGATTGTAAAGTAAAACTTTTAAAAATGTGTAAAATATTATAATTCTGAATTTTGTTGTCCAACTTCATGATTTTGTTGCTCATACCAGGGTAGGTGTAATCAAGACTTAATAGGAAGTGAATGTGTCATACCAAAGTCATATTTCAAACTCAGTCAAATTGTGTTTGTGTGTGCATTAAACAGGACAAGTACATGTAATCCGCTCACGAACAAGAGCCATAATCACACACACACATATATATATATATATATATATATATATATATATATATATATTGCGCATGCAAAGTTAAGCGCAGATATTGTGACACAGATATTTAGATCTCTTATAATATAGATTGAGTTTTGCTAAACTGGGTTGAATACTGCACTAGGCAAACATAGGACACGAGGAAGATTGTGCTGTTCTTTCAAGAATCTGGTAAGAATTTCTTACAAATCAGTACTCAAAATCGTGCTTAGGAACTGATGTCGATTATTAGAAACAGGTTACGATCGGATTCACCAAAAAGTCTTCTACGATCAGTCTGAGGAATCAAGAACTGTAGAAGGTGTTTGGGGGAATTTCGAAAAACGTCTTAACATTTCCAGTTCAGAAAAATGTCGTATATATCGAAAGTTGACATTTCTCACTTATAAATAGAATGGATGTTGAATATATTTACTTCGTTTTAATTGAACTCATTATTTTTAAAGTTATCAATCAAGACTTTTCAATAATACATATTCGTACACACGCGCGCGCACACACACACACACATATATATATATATATACACACACACATGGTGTAATAGCACGGGATAATTGTTCCTCCCAAAAAATGCTTAATTCCTAAAAAAAAAAAAAAAACACTGTTTTTTTTTTTCAGGTTTTCAGATAAGATATTTAGCTATTCTACACCATTTGTCGTAAGAATCACTGAAAAACCCTTTGAGATATACAGCTAGAAATAGAACGGGTTAAAATCGTTTTGCGTCATCCCCACTGTCTTCTCAACTGAGCAATGGTGAGAGAAAAAGATCATTAAGGCCCTCAGTAATGGTACCAACGTTCATACTCTGGCTTCAAAGTCCAGTCAAGAATTATCAAGAG